CACTGATAGGAGACCCGGAAGGTATTAAACTGATCAGAAAAATACTAAACACACCACTCCTATCTGGTGGCACATTAGCTTGACCGCGCAGTGCCCCAAATTTGAATTAAGAGGACCGATCAAGCATCTTCTTCCATCTCCCTGTTACAGAAATCACTGCCATATCCATACAAATTGTACAGAATGTCCAGGATAGTTTTCCAGGGACAAATGTTGTCGCCTGTTGAACGAGGTGACCTTGCTCGGGTCCCAGGTGTGCGGTTCCTAAAATGGTTGCTATACACGCCCCACTGATAGGAGACGGAAGGTATTAAACCGATCAGAACAATGCCAAAACACAATTCACTACAATAAGGTTTCTCTCTCCTATGCCTCAAATGATGCTTAAGATTAGAAGCGCTGAAAAGTACGCCACACCAACAAAAATATTTTTTTTTAACATTCTCTCCACTTTGAACGAAATGACGTTTGGGAAGAGATTAACATAATTAAACACAGGCAGTAAAAATACAGTTTTTAGCCATACCCTGTAACTTTTAAACTACACATCCCATCTTCATAATTACATATTTGGAATCAGCACACTTAAAACATAAACATAACCAAAAAATCAGCCAAATCCATCCAGGGGTTAAAAAGTTAGCTGTAGGTCCCTTTATGACCGACTGCAAGCACATTTCCCTGCCCAAAACAGTTCCATAGATTTGGGCTGTGAGGTCGGTCTATTTCAGGCTGAAAAAACGACTAAGTCCCATCGCGAATGGGACTTAGTCTCTGCAGCTGAAATAAGGCTGAAAAAAACGGCTGAAAAAACGACTAAGTCCCATCACCGAATGGGACTTAGTCTCTGCAGCTGAAATAAGGCTGAAAAAACCGGCTGAAAAAAAGACTAAGTCCCATCGCCGAATGGGACTTAGTCTCTGCAGCTGAAATAATTTCCCATTTACTGAACCAAGTGGGAAATAGCAAGGGAGGCACAAAGGGTTTGCACCAGGTCTGGGGACACAGGGGACACCGTCTTAAAGGGGCCGTGTCCCCAACAAGTCTGGGGACACGGCCTTAAAGGGGCAGTGTCCCAATCTTCCTGATGTCCCAAAAAAGGTGTTTAAAAGGGCCAGCACCAGTCACATAAAGAGTCCATAAGCCCCAATATGCCCACCGACAGTCTTAAAGGGCCATACACACCAAATAAAAGTGCATACATTTTCACAATCTCCCAGGGGCTATAGTCATGCGGGAGGAGGCTGGCAAAGAGGCTTCTCCACAACCCAGGGAAACAGGGCAATTTGCCATTTAAAGGGCCCGTTACAAATAGCAGTTTGTAACAAGGTGTCAATCCATATCTGCCAAGTGACCCGATGGAGGGGGAACAGTCCCTATTCTGCTCTGTGTCAGTGTGTATCAGGGGCTCTGAGGACAGGTGTCAATCCATATGTCAAGGTGTCAATATGTCATATGTCAGGTGTCAATCCATATTGATTGTGATTTAGGAATGTTAGGTGATTTCTGCCCCTTATGGATTAAAACCAGACTCTGTATCAACTGTGTAATTTTCCATGGGAGTTTTGCCATGGATCCCCCTCCGGCATGCCACAGTCCAGGTGTTAGTCCCCTTGAAACAACTCTTCCATCCCTATTGTGGCCAGAAAGAGTCCCTGTGTGTTTTAAAATTCGCCTCCCCATTGAAGTCAATGGCGTTTCGGGCGGTTCGCCGGTTCGCGAACATTTGCGGAAGTTCGCGTTCGCCGTTCGCGAACCGAAAATTTCGGGTTCGCGACATCACTATAGATGGGTAGAGAGGAATACTGAACCTATTAACCTATAGTGAGGAATATAAAATATTAGAAGTCCTCTCTCCCTGTCATGTGATGACTCTGTCTCATAGATAATACAATAATCTGAGAAGAAATTTATGAGTAAAAGTGTAAAAAATAAAAAAGTACAAAAAATAAAAATTTGTAAAAAATAAAAGATACATTTGAAGTATTCTCTGATGATCCTTACATCCAGCCTTTTATATTCACAGCTATTATGCACATTCTTTCACCAATATGCAGATTTGTAAAAGCACTTAATAATGTTTAAAACCATGTAACCTTATAACTATAAAGATACTGATCCAGTATAGTTAAAAATAGAATACTTTTATTAGAAAAGATGAAAAATATGATTGAAAAAATATAATGAAATTAAACTAGTGCTTGCAGTCTTGCCAGTTACAAAATACAGGAGTACATAGTTACAATATGTATCTGGTACATGGTTAATCTATTGTTTGTTGAAGAATGATACAAAAAATCCTATGAATCAGACCTGATAAGAATTTCTCCGCTACTGCGACTTTATCAATGGATATTGGGCTGACTCGTGGCTTGCTTCTTATAAGGGCTTTGTAGTTATAATTACCAGCTGTTATGAGAACGTGCTTAACATTTCAAAACTAGTTTGGCATTCTATACAGTCAATATGCATACTCTTAAATTGTATTAACAAATAATCATAGTTAAAAAATAGATAATGTAACAGAACTCCCCATACTCCAACCGAGTACCTTCCATTGATGGACGCTGCCTAGCTTGCGCCGAGGACCACAAGCACCGCACCGGACACCACAACCACTGCAGAATCCACAACCGCCATAGCTTAACTGGAGTCTCGCCGTCTTCTGTCCACCCTGGATCAGCTTCTGTCCTCCAGGACCGTGTCAGGAAGACCTCTCCTCCAGGAGAGCGTATCAGAATCAAGCTCTTAAAAGAGCTAAGTGATCAAAGCTCAAGGGAGTATGCAGAGCATAGCAACCCCTAGTGTGAATATAAATAATAAAATAAAAAAAGGCTGCGCACACAGATAAAAATGAAGTCCAAAATAAAGGAAAAGAAAAGTCCCAATGTTATATCCTTACAAATGGTCTTGGCTAGTGACGTCTTCTCTTAATGTAGCGATTCCACTTATATGAAAGAGAAAAAAGGAGAGAGAAGGGCGACCAATAGTGTAGTATGTAAAATTCTGATGTGGACGTGAAGAAAAAATAATATAAAACTCACATTTACCAGAGCTACTGTCCTAGCTCTGGGGTAAAGCGCATACAGCGGTTTAATCCCCGCTTGTAGGATTTAAGTGGGTTCCTCTCTGTGATAGGTGTCCAATTCTCGGAATAAAAGAAACAGCCAATAGTGCTCACTGTATAGCAGTATGGATAAAATAATAAAAGAATGTAATTACAAAGCAAGAGCAGATCTACTGCTCCGTGATGGCAGCTTGGGTGGATTGATCCCCACCTAGGATTTCTTTAAGTGCAGGAGACTTCCAGGGATTTTCAAGGTTTTTTTTAAAACCAATATAAAAGGGAATAAAATAATTAAAAGGCCAGGATAAAAAAGAAAAATTATGTGTCTATAAAAAAGATTATTGGCACAAATAAATAACCAAAAATACTTTAATATATAAAAAGAACACAATAATTTAAATTTCCATAACGCGTTTCGTCAGAGACTTTTTCAAATGGTATTCTATTTATCCAGCTCTAAAGGGTCTGAGGGATCCCCTTTTAAAGGTTGCTGCCTACAAGTTATCTAGCGCTGTCTCATCTCTATTTTTTGTTACCTAGTGTGAATATAGCTGTCCCCTCCAATCACGAGACAATACTACGTGTTGAGGGTCAAGAAGATCTCTGTTTAATTAGCACCAAAGGGCCTTCTTTTATGGAGGTCTTACACATACAGGACTGCCTACATGGGTTTTTCAGAACAACCAATAAAAACATTACAACACATACAATAAAGTAAACCACTCCCAGCAGAAATTCTCCATCTGCCTATGATACAATTATCTCAACACAATAGTCTAACTTAATTATCACAGGCAGAAAATATACAGTTTTTACACAACATTAATAACTTTAAAAGTATACATGCAATATTAATAAAAGTTACATATTTGAAATCAGCGTCCTTTAAATATAAATATACTCAAAAATCATAAAAATCCGTCTAGTAGATCAAAAGTTTGTCGGAAGTCCTTTTCTGACAGACCGCAAGCACATTTTCCTGCCCAAAACAGTTCCATAGATTTGGGCTGTGCGGTCGGTCAATTTAACACTGAAAAATGATGTGCGTTCGAATCTTCGAATGGGACTTAGCCTCTGGCTGCAGTGATGAAGTGGAGGGAGGACGTAAGGGTCAGCGGTATTCGCGGAAATGTGTAGCAGATTTTGGTTCCATAGATTCAGGAGCACACACTGCTGAACGTGTTCGACTAACTTAAAATGGCCGCCGCCATGTGTTCGGTTTTTGAATGGCGACTACTTCAGCACTTCGACTGCATCCGAAGTGCCAGTTTAAAAGTACAAATCCTTTCTCTGGGAGTTAAAGGGCTAGCAGCAGCACAAAAAATATATCATACAATGATTAAAATAGTAGCGATACATGATATGAACATCTAATATAACATCTGAAAAGATTGTATATTACACAGATATAAATGCATATATAGATAAATATAAATCCATATACAGCTTGGAGATGGTATATCACTGAACATATTTTATACTGTGGATGTTATTAGTCAAAGCTTTTGTGAAGGGTAAATTCGTAGGCATGAAAACGGATCAATGCACTAACAGGTTAATAACATATGCATTAGTGAAATGTCAGTGTAACTAAGGAGGTGCATATTTACAGAAAACATAAAATGTGTTAGTGGTAGATAAAAATCATCTGCATATGTAGCTCAGGCATGAATATTTAATAGGACATCATAAAGATATATCGTAAAAAATAATAATAATAAAAAAAAAAAATTTTTAAATTATATATACCGTATATACTCGAGTATAAGCCGACCCGAATATAAGACGAGGCCCCTAATTTTACCACAAAAAATGGGAAAACTTATTGACTCGAGTATAAGCCTAGGGTGTTAAATGCAGCAGCTACTGGTAAATTTCTAAATAAAATTAGAGCCCAATAAAATTACATTAATTGAATATTTATTTACAGTGTGTGTATATAATGAATGCAGAGTGTGTGTTTGTGTGTGTATATAATGAATGCAGTGTGTGTTTGTGTGTTGTGTGTGTATATAATGAATGCAGAGTGTGTGTTTGTGTGTGTATATAATAAATGCAGTGTGTATATAATGCAGTGTGTGTTTGTGTGAATGCAGTGTGTGTAAACTGGGTGAGGGGGGTATTTTTATTTTAAATTTTTTAATAGTATTATTATTTTTATATTATTTTAATATTATTAATTTATTATATTATATTAATATTCTATTATTATTCTCTTAATATTTGTATTTTATTTTATTATTCTATTATTATTATTATTCTATTATTTTAATATTATTTTAATATATTATATTATTTTAATATTATATATTATTCTATTAATATTCTATTATTTTAATATAATTTTATTATATTATATTATTTTAATATTATTCTATTATTTTATTAATATTTTAATACTTGTATTTTTTTTTTAGATCATTGTCCCCCCTCCCTGCTTGTTGCCTGGCCAGGGAGGGGGGCTATGTGAATCCCTGGTGGTCCAGTGGCATTGGCAGTTCAGTGGGGGGGCTGGCAGCGAGCTCTTACTTACCTTCCTGCAGCTCCTGTCAGCTCCTTTCTCCCTCCTGTCAGCTCCGTTCTGCTTACAGTATAAGTCTCGCGAGACCCACAAGTTATAAGCAGCTGTTTCTTATTATACCCTATATTATATAAGGCACGTATATTTGATAAAAAACAGATATTTATAAATACCAAAATCTTGAACAATTAACAAGAACATTTCAAAATCAGTACTTTTCCTGTAACTAGGATTTTAGATACATTTATTTCCGAGAATCGGAGATACAATTCCAAATTTATTCTTGGTTCAAATTAACCCTTATATGAACAGCTAGGATAGATAGTGAAATGGATATTCGTATCTACAATTCCCCTCTTAGATCATATCATGATGTACCTTACGAAAAATATCCATGGGAGGCCTGCGGCAGAGAAAAGAAAGGAGGTATAGTCAGACGTGCTAATCACGTCTGCGGGACTTTCGTTATTTCTTCACCTCGATTAACCCCATTTGCTCTGTTCCGTAGGTTTTCCCTTTAAGAGGAGTTCGAGCTGTCAATTTTCAGCTTTTTCAATTATCTGTTGAATACATCTTTTAAGCGTACAAGTTAAATATTTCAAACAGCTGACATGTTAATAATTTTTAAACAGACTGAACATCATGTTATCTGTAGCTTGAGCCTTGGGTCAATACAGGCAAAGTGTATTATTCCCAACAATGGGAATATTATTATTATAATTCACAACGTAAACTCATATAGTCAAAATGGGAATAATATCTATTCCCCCTGTTTGGACCAGGGTCTTGGATTACCAGTCCACTCAGTGAACTCGGGCCAGATCAAAAAACCCAGTGGCAAAAATTCATATTTGAGGAAAAAAAGCACATCTGGGGAAACTCTGAGTGAGGGCCATGACTGTGTAGACATGTCATCCCCTCATGTTGACACCACTAGTGACTTATAAAACCCGCACTTGTAAGTAAATAGCTCAGGTATTGGGATTGGGAAACACTTCTTGATTAGTTTGAAAACGCCCACTTACATATTAAATCATGAGATAATTTTGCAATTCTAACAATAATCTCAATCACATCCCTATTTCAATGGTCTAGTCATATCCACACTTAATACATGGGAATCCATCCTTGGTACACTCAACATACATAAATGACACACATAGTACATCCATGCCTGAGTAAGATAATACTTCCTCTCTCTCCAGCTAACTCTACAAAAATAAAAATAACAAAATAGTTCAATAGCCCAGCATAGTCCAGAAAAATAGAATACGTCTTTCAAGGAGTATAAAGAATCTTAGACACCATAAACTTTGTTCCATAATCTTAGACACCATAACATAGTTAAGACAACAAGACAATGTCAGCTTCTACATATTAATTCTTCTGTTTGCTGGATGTTCACCACAATGCTCTGTGCAACACCCCAATTGTTGAAAGGGTAATACAGAACTAGTGGCATTAGACAGCACTGCACCTTCAGGACTTTCCAAGTTAGTTTATGTCCTCATAAGTAAGCATCTCAGTTTCTTCGGCCAGCATGGATTTTGACCAAACAGATTTAATTGCAAAAAAGGTAGGTAGGCAGGTAGGTAAGCCAAAGAGATTGGTGTGTAGTCCCAAATATCAGGCGGCACAAATACTCCAGTACAGTCTCTATAATCATACAAACACAAGGATCATTACAACATCAATAAATTAATTATCTAGGCTAAACTCAAATTAGAGACTAAAGTTAACTTGTGTAACATGTACTTACATTGTGTAACTTGTGTAACATGTACTTTTCTCAGTGTTGCTTATATTTCATTGAATTTGTCCTTGATAACATTTTAATACATAATTTCCCTTTAGAATGCCTTTGTATGGATGAAAGAAGCACTTATTCTATAAACACTAACATATACATATTGGAATAATTCCCAATAAAATACTGTTCTTAAGCTTAAACCTTGATTTGACAATCTCAATTAATTACTTTAATAGAATTGGAATGCTGAAATCTGTCAGAAATGTTGTGGACCCTGATAACATCTTTGGAAACTGAAACCTTTTATAGATCCCGATGTCCAAAAAGCCACCAGTTCTGTATGTGCGTGATCATGTTTTAATACTGTACAGTTGTCCCATTAAAACAATATTTTTTTTTTCAGAACAACTAGGAATGAAATAGGAGAAACAAAATGAATTACTACCTGTGTTAAGGTTGCAAGTGGGCTCTGACAAGGAAGGGGCAGCAAACTGTAGACATATGTTATATTAAGTTGCTGTCACTTGTCAGGTCTTGGAAACCCACTTATTTTATTGCAGATGCCTCTATGATACCACGTTACAAATTGACTAAGCATACTTATTATTATCCTATTTTATTTTAGTTATTTCACATTGCACAGCCTATGCAAACATGTCTAGGTCCCAACTTCAGCTTGTGCATCCCCTAAGAGCAAGCATTAATACTGTTTTATCATTCAAAAATATAAATAAAGTATTAAAAACATGAACCATCTGTGTATTAGGCTGGGGTTGTTGAGTGGGTCCTTGAACGCCAGCTGGGCCAGGTTCTCCCTTAGCACTGGGTTCTCCTTTGTTTCCCTGAGTACCAGGTTCACCATTGTTACCCTTAGGTCCAGGGGAACCTCCGGGGCCTTGAGGTCCAGGAGCACCACAGGCGCCAGGGAAGCCAGGGGCACCAGCAATACCAGGAGTACCAGTGGGGCCAGCTTGACCGGGAGAACCAGGTTCACCATGAACCCCTGCTATCCACAATTAAAACAGTGCCAGTCACAAACCAACAGTTTGACCAAAAGTGAACAAGGAGGAAGCATATTCCATATGCAGGTCGAGATTACCTAACTCACACCCCCCTCTTTGTGTACCACACATATATAATGTTAATAAGCTTTTGAAGATTTATTGTATATTTAAATTGTGTATGTATAGCACGGTTATCTAGGGGTGTATACATAAACAGTGAAAGCAGAGTCTTCATGTAGGGTTTGCAATACTGACAGTCTGGATTATAGGTGTAATGCAGACATGCGGTTAGGTACTTTTCCATTGTCAGAATACATTGAAAACACTAATATATTGCAAATATTAAAATCATATTGCAGCTGTTTTCCATACCTGCAAGGATATGGTTGTGATACTTCAAGTGAGTTCAAATTGAGTATCAAAAGTCCAACCACAAAAACTACATTTTATATGTTTATCACAAATGAGTTTAACCCCTAAGCGAGTTAATAGGGTGACCTCTTCCCATAGTATGGTTCCTTTTATATTTATTATATTATTTATTCTCTTCTGGGTCTGCAAAATGCTTTCAATTTACCAATACAAATATAATACAGTAGTTTAGAATTGCCTCATTTATAATCATCAGAAATTGTCTGATCTCTATTAAAAATACCATTTCATCATTACGCTATAATCAATGAGGCATACTAGATTAATCTTAATCTTGGAAAAAACCTATCCTATACATCCATTTCTTTTTTCTTTTTTAAATAACCATATAACATAACAATTTTTTATGTGAAAGATAACACATTTTTCTTTTTCTTTGACTTAAAAAAATGCAATGCACTTTAAAAGTGGAGTTAACTCTAAATACTCCCCAAATGGAAACGTGGATCCACGATTTTGAAAGGCAGATTTTTTTCCAGGGGCCCCTTTTTCGTGAGTTGATCAGCATTTAATCTGTTGTAAAAAGACACTAAAGGCTTGCGTTAATGACATGCAAATATTCTTTAAATATTCTTCATACTCATTGTAATATCACACATGTTATCTTACAGCACAGAACACAACGAACGAAGCAGATATCCAGCAGTCATGCCAATACAAAAAACGTATTCATGGACAGGCAATCAACTCAATCCAAAATAAATTAATAAATGTCACACTCGGTGTCCCTCAAAAGAAACACAGACATAATGTAGGTTCCTATGTTTATGCATTATGCATTTCTGCAAACTATGCAAGCAGTACTGCTTTAAGGATTGACCAGAAAACCTGGCAACTGGACAGGAAAGTCGAATTTTGGCAAGAAGTCCATTATTGCAACAGAATTTTGGAAATCAGCCAAAACTTACAAAAACAGCCTCCCAATTATTTTGCTTAAGACTACAACTCATATTGCTCTTGGACTAGTATTCAATAATAAATCAGTTATTTAATAGATTATTACATTGCATTTCCATCTGTATCAATACTGAGACAATCTTGTTCAAATATAATTTAAAATAACACAGCAAAATACCCATTAACATACATGACAATTAAACTGCACACTTTAAAATGAGTAACCCAAAACACACATTTATCACAATCACCATTTACACAGAATAAACTTTTAACAGCTGTATTCAGAACATATTATTGGAAGGTATACCAATTTTAGTTTGTATCAAATTTATTTAAGAGTTCTGGTACCAAAGGTTTTTTTCTTTTTCTTTTTTTTCTTTTTAAAGAAGGGATCCCGTACAGTCATATAACGCGTTTGACTTAAACTTTTGTATAACACTTGCATTAACCAGTTGCAACATATGTACCCTGTCAATAGAATTTCTCTTTTATATGCTTATAGAACATTTGGACCAGTTCACACAGACATGGTATCACCTCCATTTGTCAGAACTCTCAAAGACTCAAAATATTTATACTACTCCATGTTAAAGGCATGGCAAAATTTTGACCGGTCAGTTTTCTGATCCTACATTCTATAACCAAAATTTCAAACTCGCTTCAGCACAGGGATCTACAGTTTTGGGTCACAATCAATAAATTCTCAGCATCCCCATACAACAATTTACAGAGTTTCACAAAATCAAAAAGTGTAGTGGGCTTATAGTACTTTTGTCCAAGTATAAAAATAAAGGGCTCATTATGCAAACAAACATACATGCAGAGAAATCATGTTAGTTCTAGAATGTGTAGCCCCCTTAAATAACCTCTATTTCTATCTCTTCTTCCTCTTTATCATCATCACCCTCACTTGTCCTTTTGACATTTCCTTAATCATTTTATTCCCTTAATTCTTATACCTGGTTTGGACACCCTCAGAGGAGCTGCCCAATCCTTTCTTCCTGGGTATGGGGTAAAAGGGAGCTTTATGGAGCAGTGGGTACTCCTTGTCCCTGCTTGGGGAGGTCTAACTACCACAGCAAGGATAGCACCCAAATCATCATGGGTATGGGGTGTAATCAGGAGGGAGTAATGATTTGGAGATGTTAAAAACAGTTCCCATTGTTCCCATTTTATGTATCTTATCCCCTATTCTAGCAACATACACAGTTCTCTCCTTGAATTGGTGGGGTTGATATTTTTTTTTTTTAGACTGGGAAGTACCCATTTCAAAATCACAGGCAATTAAGACTTTATGCTTAAAATCAGAGTTGCACAGTCACATAAAACAGCACATAAAGTAGCAAGCTGGAGTAATGCCAAACATCCATCATACAGGGTTTAAACAATATTCCCTTTTAATGCCCCCCCCCCTTTTTATTTTTTTTATTTTTCTAAACCATTTTCTTAAACCATCTTACACGCAAAACCCACATGTACAATAAATTACATTACATGACAGCCTGCCAAAGGCTTGAAAAACATTTTACCACCTGCCAAAGGTGAACCTCTACCAAAGAGGAATTGTCTACCATAGACAATTGTGCACAATACTGCCTACCAAAGGTTTTCCTCCAACCCAAGGGGTAATAAAAGTTTACCTTAGACTTAAAAAAAATGAAAGTGTGGAGGATGAGAAAAGGAAAAGAATAGGTGTCTCCAATTGCACCCAAACTTCTGACACCAATTTGTTGGGGATAAAATCAGCCCGGGCCCTTTGTGGATGATGGATATTTGCCAACTCTTTATCAGCACTCTGGAAATTGGAAATGAAAAGCAGAGACATGTTCAATAACCAATTCAAATTCCTGTATTACGCAAGTTATATTTATACCCCATTTTCATAGCAGGATGGGAGGGAGAAAAATTAGCATATGGGCGTGACAATGATGACAATGACATAGATTGTTTTTCACAAGTTATAAGCAGCTGTTTCTTATTATATCCTATATTATATAACGCACGAATATTTGATAAAAAAAAACAGATATTTACAAATGCCAAAATCTTGGACAAGTAACAAGAACATTTCAAAATCAGTACTTTTCCCGTAACTAGGATTTTAGATAAATTTATTTCCGAGAATCGGAGATACAATTCCAAATTTATTCTTGGTTCAAATTAACCCTTATATGAACAGCTAGGATAGATAGTGAAATTGATATTCATATCTACCTCTGTATTACGTCGGCCGGTGGGCGAGACTGATCCTGCGCACAGGCCGGGGAGACCTAATGCGCATGCACGGCAATGCCACACATTTGCATTAGAGCTTCCCATAGGAAAGCATTGAAAATGCTTTTCAATGCTTTCCTATGGAGAATTGAGCGACGTTGGAGGTCCTCACACAGGTGGAGTTAACACTGCAAGGCAATTATTGCAGTTTGTAAAAAACTGCAATAATTACCTTGCAGGGTTAAGAGTAGTGTGAGTTGGCACCCAGACCACTCCAATGGGCAGAAGTGGTCTGGGTGCCTGAAGTGTCCCTTTAAGTATGAAACTGTTGACGTCTACATTCTTGAAATGGGTCTTAGTTTTAATTGTATTGGAGTCTACATATATGGTAAGATCTAAAAATTCTACTGACAAGTTGCTGTAAGTTGTGTTAAGTTTTACTCCCCAGGTGTTCATATTAACATACTCCAGAAAACATAGTAGCTTGTTTGTGTTGCCTTCCCAAATTAAGAATATGTCATCTATATATCTTTTGTAGTGGTAGATATTCTTTTTCCAGAGATGCTCATTCCAAATGTGATGGTCTTCCCAGTATCCCATGAATATGTTGGCAAAGCTGGGTGCAAATTTTGTCCCCATCGCTGTACCAGTCTTTTGTAAGTAGAACTTATCGTCATGCCAGAAATAATTGTTTTTGCATATAAAGGTTATTGCTTCTATTATAAATGAAATTTGGGAGTCCTCTAGTTCTGCGTACTTCTTCAGAGATCTTAATGTTGAGTGGCAACCTTTCTCGTGATTTATAATAGTATAAAGTGATGTGACGTCTGTGGATACAAGAGTGTAGTTATCTTGCCATCTTACTGTTTCCATTACTTTATTAATTTGCATTGTGTCTTTCAGGTGCAATTTCACTTTGGATACATATGGTTGGAGGAACAAGTCTGTAACGAACCCTGGAGTGGTAGCTAGTGGTTCATATGGTTTGGTTCTTCATTCGTCAGTTAAATCCCAAAGAAACGAAATCCTCTAGTTGCAGTTTTCCAAGTATCAATCAGGTACCACAACACCAGCCGAAACATGATGAAGGGTGTAACAAGAATGGTGTTTATTGAGACCGCACAGGATTTTATGGAGGTCCCCCTGCAAGAGGACCTCCAACAGTACACAAACATAATAACCAATCACATTGTGCATTTACAATAAAACACTCCTTCTCTCTGCCTGGGAGATAATTAGGCAAGCTAAGGGATAACCCAATTATCTCCAGGCAAAAGGGGAACACATTTTTCTCAAAACTCATACCTTTAACTCTAGGGTATCCCCAAAAATGACATATCCCCTGATAGCCCCAATCTGGAAGATTGGAAGATACAGCTCTCCTAGCTGTTCGGCAACAAAAGGAAGCAGGCGTTCGTATACTTTCAGCGGTGTTCAGGAAGTCGAGTGTCCAATTTTAGTGGTGTCACAATAGCTTGCATTTAAAACCAAAAAACTTTTTTCACTGTTATAGATTGAATAGCAGTTAGTTGTCTGCCAGCGTCTGTGTCAGGCTCACAGTGGATACTGTGCCCAGTACCACCACTCACTCACTGGTGTCACAATAGCGTGCATTTAAAAACCAAAAAACTTTTTTCACTGTTATAGATTGAATAGCAGTTAGTTGTCTCAAAGCGGGTGTGTCAGGCTCACAGTGGATACTGTGCCCAGTGCCACCACTCACTCACTGGTGTCACAATAGCTTGCATTTAAAAACAAAAAACTTTTTTCACTGTTATAGATTGAATAGCAGTTAGTTGTCTCAAAGCGGGTGTGTCAGGCTCAGAGTGGATACTGTGCCCAGTGCCACCACTCACTCACTGGTGTCACAATAGCTTGCATTTAAAAACAAAAAACTTTTTTCACTGTTATAGATTGAATAGCAGTTAGTTGTCTCAAAGCGGGTGTGTCAGGCTCACAGTGGATACTGTGCCCAGTGCCACCAATCACTCACTGGTGTCACAATAGCTTGCATTTAAAAACAAAAAACTTTTTTCACTGTTATAGATTGAATAGCAGTTAGTTGTCTCAAAGCTGGTGTGTCAGGCTCACAGTGGATACTGTGCCCAGTGCCACCACTCACTCACTGGTGTCACAATAGCTTGCATTTAAAAACCAAAAAACTTTTTTCACTGTTATAGATTGCAGTTAGCAAGCTTCTGTGTCAGACTCACAGTGGATACTGTTCCCAGTGCCACCACTCACTCACTGGTGTCACAATAGCTTGCATTTAAAAACAAAAAACTTTTTTCACTGTTATAGATTGAATAGCAGTCACTGTCCTCAAAGCGGGTGTGTAAGGCTCATAGTGGATACTGTGCCCAGTGCCACCACTCACTCACTGGTGTCACAATAGCTTGCATTTAAAGACAAAAAACTTTTTTCACTGTTATAGATTGAATAGCAGTTAGTTGTCTCAAAGCGGGTGTGTCAGGCTCACAGTGGATACTGTGCCCAGTGCCACCACTCACTCACTGGTGTCACAATAGCGTGCATTTAAAAAACCAAAAACTTTTTTCACTGTTATAGATTGAATAGCAGTTAGTTGTCT